CATTCCTGCAGAGAAATCTCCCCCACCGTGCTCCCCTCTGCCCTCCAAGCTACAAGGCAGCAGAGCAAACCGCGCTCTGTGGAGATGCACCACAAAGCATCCCCTCAAATCAACCCCTTAGCTTCCCTGTATCTTCACTTACATAGGAAATCCCACCCAAGATCTACAGAAAAAGACAATGGTGCTGCGGCTCTGGTTTTTACAGTAACTTTCAAAGGATGCAGTCAAAACCTGCTATGACATGAGTTCCCCATGGTCCTCACAGCAAGGTCACCTCCTTGTCCATTCCCTCCCTAGCTACAGCCACCTGAAAACATCCCCAGTAGAGACTGGAGAAGCTCTGGCCAGGTAGTACAACCACGTTGGACACCGAGTTCCTCACAGAATATTTTGTAGAACACAGAGGCAAATGCAGGAGCCAATATCCATGGGAGGGGAAGTCTGGCTCTGTAACTGGATGCTGGCTTCAAACCTCTGTTCCCCAAAATGGCCTGTGTGACCTTGGGCAAGCTCTTTAGCATCCCTGTGCCCCTAACCCAACCGTGAAAGGAGAGCAATGCCGCTGCACCTCCACCAGCAAGTATTATGGAGATAAATACATCAATGATTATGAGGCATTCAGACAAGATGATATGACTTATCAGGAAGCAAATTCAATAGCAATCAATCAATATTACTATTGCTGCCAGAATCAGATACTATTCTTAATTTTTGTATTACAGCATTACTTAGGGCCTCAGCCAGGGAACCTTTTGCCCCGAATTATACACACATCACAAAGAACCTCTGCATAAAAGCATCTACACTCAAAGTTGGCCAAGTGTCAATCTTTATTATGGGATACTCGATCTCCCTGCATTTTTAAGCACATGACAAATAGCACCAGCTCTGGCCCATCTGCAAATCCTGAATTATTCCTGGGTTGATGACTTTAACTGCTTCCAGTGACAAATGTGGATCACCACGCTATACTGCTATTCTGCAGCGTCAGAAATGAAGACACCAAGGTCTTCATTTCTGCATCACCAGGCAGGAGTTCTCTCCGTCCTACACACTCGTGCACAAGAATGGAAAGGGTGCTCTCAGTTTCAATTTTTTAAAAATTTGTCTTGCACTAGTTCTAGTGAAACACAGCAGGGAACCAGGTCCAAAATTTCCTAGCAGCTGTAGCAGTAATAATAGCAATAATAAATACCTGTGCTAGTTTTCGCTGGGGTAGAGTTAATTTTCTTCATAGCAGCTGGTATGGGGCTAGGTTTTGGATTTGTGCTGGGAACTGCGTTGCTAACCCAGGGATGTTTTAGTCACTCCTGAGCAGGGCTTATCCAGAGTCAAGGCCTCTTCTGCCTCTCGCCCTACCCCACCAGCGAGGAGGCTGGGTAGGCACAATGAGTTGGGAGGGGACACAGCCGGGACAGCTGACCCCAATGACCCCAGGGATATCCCATACCGTGTGACGTCATGCTCAGCGTACACAGCAGGGGGAAGAAGGAGGAACGGAGGGACGTTGGGAGTGATGGCATTTGTCTTTCCAAGTCACTGTTACGCATGATGGAGCCCTGCTTTCCTGGAGATGGTTGAACACCTGCCTGCCCATGGGAAGGGCTGAATGAATTCCTTGTTTGCTTTCCTTGTGTGTGCAGCTTTTGCTTTACCTATTAAACTGTCTTTATCTCAACCCAGGAGTTTTCTCACTTTTACCCTTCTACTTATCCTTCACGCCAGGGGGGTGAGTAAGCAAGTGGCTGCGTGGGGCTTCGTTGCCAGCTGGGGTTAAACCACGACAATACCGTTGCATTATAACCTCCATATACTAGTGCCTGAAACACTAAAGTGCTTCAAAGATACAAATCTGATCATAAAGGAGAAGCACAACCACTCTACGCCTTGAGGGCAGAGCTTTAAAAAGAGTTAAATATGTTAGTTGCCCACAAGTTGAGGTTAAGTGGAAGCTAAGCCCTTACAAATCTGGCTCCAGATGTGGGTGCTGAACATTGCTCCTTTTCAAATCTTGCTGCTAGAATAGCATGAAGTCAAATTACCCTGTTGAGATAAATATGTCTTTACTGTCACACAATCCTTTCATCTTGTGGGCAGCTTGCTTTGTGAAGTGATGAATTTCAGTACAGCAGCTCAGAAAGGCCGCAGAATTAACTGCCTTTGCCAGGTGGGCCTTTTACTGGGAGCTGTGGAAGAATTCTTATGGTTTGTTGATGATGAGCATCTTTCACACGGAGGAACGTGACTTCCGCCTCCTTTCAAGAATACATTTGTTTTACTGTCAGGCAAAGGTCCCTACATTTACCATAAGCATTTGCCAGATTCCAGGAAGCTGGGTTAGTCTAAATGCTCACTTTAATGAAGCACAATATAGTCAATTTTGTTTGACATAAAAATGCACGTAGTACTTTTCACAGTGCTTCTAAAAGTTAACTGAAACTCCTGAAAGAAATACAAGAATAAAAAAATCATTCTTTCAAAACAAAAGCTAAAAATTTTAAAACCTCCTGCAGGACAAAAACCCTCCAAAGTGGGCTCTGAAGTGATCTTTTTTCTCTTTTGAAAACTTCAACACCAACTGGATAGGGAAACTCAAACCATGGGATGCGGGACAGCCTCAGATGTGAGGGCAGGACGGCTGCTGCTGCAGACCCAGGAAGGGAGCCCTGCTCAGAATGGGAGCTCACAAGATTTCCATGCTCCTGACTTTGTCTCAGGTGTTTTGGGAGCCATGGGGTCACTGACTACAGGATGGACTCTGGGGTGCTCCTGCCTCTGCTGCCAGGAAACCCAGATTCCAGCCTTGGAAACTCACATCCATCAGCAGCTCCCCGGGCAAGCTAACAGAAAGCTGTCTGTCGGAAAGACCTCTGCCTCTGAATGAGATTCCTAAATTACAGCTACCCTCCTGTAACTTGCCAGTTTTAGTGAGCTGGCATTTACAAGGACAGACTTGGAAAAAACATGACCAATTTAATCCTCACCTTACCAGCATTTCCAACCGTATTTTAAGGGACAACCACAAAATGATATACCAAATTCAAAACCAAAATAAACTTAGCAGCTTGCTGAAATTTTGTATTTGCTAAACATGCTCCTACATTTGAAACCCACTTAGTGGTCTCACATTTCAATTTTTCATCTCAGCTTTGATCTCAAACATCAGAGAGAGTATTTTTGATTTTCAAGTCAGTAAAACTAGAAGAAAAAAGGGTTGGACTTTGGTAGGTCTCTGCATCTAATTTGCTGATTTGATACCTAAAAACCAACTTCCTTTGTGATTTACAAAGCAGCTATGAAGGCCTCGAGATCCTTACAGCTCCCCTTGTGCTCTCCAAGTTGTTATTTTATATAACTGAGGAATTCTGTGTTCAGCTTAAAGAGTTTGGGTACTTTTTGGGGGTATTTTTTTAATGCGAAATTTGTGCTCTTTTTGCAGTATTCAGGGCTATTGTCTTTTCATCAGAAAAGCTAAGTCCAATAGCACCATGTTAATCTGATCAACTGTACTGTCAGTAACGAAAGGTCACATTTAGGATTTATAGATAGCTGAAACTAATGGAAATGGTTGTCTCCAGGCTACTGATTAAACAGTATATTTAGACTAAGTGGTATTATGACTGCAGCTACGGAAAAGGAAAGATGCATTTCTTTAAAATTGCCTCAAGATTCCCCAAAGACCTTCAGACTGTTTACATAGACAATAATTCTTGAAGATATACCAAAACCATTTCACCGTCTGATGACGTATAGAATCATAGAATCATTTATGTTGAAAAAGGTCTTTAAGATCATCGAGTCTAATTGTTAACCTAGCACTGCCAAGTCCCACTAAACCATATCGCTAAACGCCACATCTACACGTCTTTTAAATGCCTCCAGGGATGGCGACTCCACCACTTCCCTGGGCAGCCTGTTCCAGTGCTTAATAACCCTTTCGGTGAAGAAATTTTTCCTAATATCCAATCTAAGCCTCCCCTCGTGCAACTTGTATTCCTACATCTAGGACAAAACGGCATATTTAACAACACATCTAAATGCCGCACAATAGCATAGTACACGAAACGAGGGTGACTGTAAAATGACACATCGAGTGGAGGTTATCCTTGATGCTTACTTCTATAAGGTGACACCTCCATAAGGTGCAGATAGACAAATGGAGCCTTGACTGTAAAAAACCAGACAGTGTCTGACCTCTTTTAGGTAAACATGAATCCAGAACAACTCTTAAAAGAACCTACAGTATTATTTTAGACTTAGCCAGACACTTCAGCTAACTGGGATTTCCATGCTTAGTTTTTTGTTTATTAAGATACCTCAGTCTATTTTCCACTTTGCCTTAATATTGAGCAGGCTATAACTGAAGGAGAAGGAAGTGTCCATGCTGGAGGTAATCCTTCCTTTACTCCCTCACTGCTGCTCTAGGTCATCACCTCTCCTTGATGAAAGCCAATGCAAAGGACAAGGCAGGACACAACAGACTGCAGGAATGAATTGATACAAACTAATCCATAGTCCCAGAAAGATAGTGGAAAGCATCACACTGCCTCCATAACGCATTTGCTAAAACTCCTGTGACAGACATAGATAGCCATGCTAAAATCCAAGTTACCTTCATAAAACCGGATCTTGTCCCTTAGGATCACCATGCCTTTTGTGAGCAGCTGATTCTGTAAACAAAATATAGACTACCTTTACTCAATTCTGTACTTCCCTACAGCCATCATATTTCTCATTTTGTTCATTTTTAACTTTTGACAATGAAGGGGGTCTTTGCTTTTAATGATTAATCATCAAAGGACTCCTCCCATGTCTGTCTTGCTTAAATCACTTGGCACACTTGTCAAATGTTGGTATAATCACCTGCTGCTTTCAGGATACAGCATGTATTCTGTGCGGTACAAAGTGCTTCTCAAACTTCAAATAGCTGACCCACAAAGCATGTACTCTGTCTTAGAGAAACAGAAAGAATACTGCTTCAATAGACAGTATGTACTTACTGCTAAATGTCTTTCCTATTAACTACACTACAACAAACTTAACTGGTTTACTCAGGAACTTAAATCTTAAGTTAAAAGAGAATGTCTGAAGTCTACTGAAAAACAGCAATGTCATACAGAAACACAGTGACTGCATAAATCTGTTCCATGGCTTGGGCTTTCACTACCTAATTATATATATATAATTACCAAATCCAAGTCTCATTAGTCCATAAATGACAGAACACAGAGAAGTCAGCGGACATCTCTGAATGGTTTCAAGGGTCTCCAGATCAGCACTTAAGAGTGGGTGAAATGATTTCGCTCAGTAGCATATAACGAAATCTGATTTAAAGGAAAGAAAATACATGCCTACCTGTAGATATTCAGTGAAAAAGGATCCCAGTTCTGTTTTCAATAATTGCCTGTATTAAAAAGAATAAAAAAAAGATCTGTGTAATCAGCAGCTGGTATTAGCTGTGCACTGCATGGAAAAGAGGAAGTCACTATAGCAAAATATTTTCATATGACTACAGAGCCTGTCAATAATGCCCAACTACAAATAGAGCAAACAGGGTCAACAATACCAAGACTCCCAACCAGCATTTCTATGTGTTGAAAAATATCTGCTGTGCTTTTAGATGGCTCGGTTGCACAAATACATCTGAAAGGAAATTAAGGTTTGACGAAAAGAGGATGCTTTCCATCCTACATGTAACCTTTTAAAAATGCTCAAATTGTTCTCCTGCTGTGCCAGGGCTTCACTGGCACCTGGTGTTGCAGATGTGGGAGAACTCCTGATGCTCTCTGCCCGTCCGTGGGTCTGAGCCAAAAACCGAGCATGTGACTTGGCCGATGTGTTCAGAACCAAAGCATCCCCATCCCGTGTAAAGTTTTAAAAAAGAGCCAGGACAAAATGTTCAGAGAGAAACCTGAAGCAGGATGATATTCTGTGGGTTTTGTTGCAGGTGTGAAACTTGGGCAGTTTTCATTGAAAGGGTCACAATCTTCCACTCAGGAGACTCACAACAGTTGAAGTTTCATATGGCTTCAGTGAACAAGCAGGTAGGAATTTCACAGTTTAGCTCTGCCTTTCATGATTGTTCTACACTAAAACCTAAAAAGCAATCTCAGAGAACAAACCAAACTCACACGCAAAAAAATTCGCACAAACAACCCTTAAATTCAGAAACTGAATTCAACCCAATCCACAAGCCCAATGTTTGTATCCACGTAAAACTCACTACATTGCTAAAAAGCCGTATGTCATTTAAGTCTCTCGCGTTGGATGCTAGATATACTTCTCTGGACTCACGTTGCTATTTAGATGCATAAATGAGAGCTCGGACCTTATAGAAATGCAGCCCCAGCTGAGTTTTCTGAATATGTGCAAATCTGGCCTGGAGCTCTTTTGAAAACTTGTCTCCCTCTGGCCACCTCAGGTCCCATGAAGAAACGAGGTCAAATGCAACTTTAAAATCTAAACACCACTTCAATTAGGGTAGTTATGTAAATTATATATTCAGTAGCATATTATCATCTATCCCTTTGGGTTATGTCTTTAACAAATAACTAATTAATCAAATTATTTAACTAGTTAACAAATATACATCTGGTTTAAAAAGTCCAGCACATCCCTATGATTCATGAAAGAGTCTGCAGGAGTCGTATCTGATGTTTTTAACACCACATGTTCGGCCTCTTGAGATCCTCTGAAAGTTCAGTGAAAGGAGGACTAAGTCAATCTTTAGGAGGCCGAAATACACTATCTTATTTATTTATCCTTAAGCACATGTCCACACTGACCTCATAGCACCCTGTGGAAACACTCTATGAATAAATGAAACAGAAAATAAACAGAAGGAAGTGGGTTTTCAGATGCTCCTACGCATCAAAATCCTTTTCAGCTAGAAATCTGATCAATTCAGACAAACTACCTATGGACAAAAATTTTCAAAGCGAGCTCAGGCTTTAGCCATAGGTCTCTCATTGCCATGAACGGCCATTGTATGGCTAACTCCCTCAGCTTGCTGTTGCAACACATGGGAGAGGACAACCCTCGCAGTGCCCTCAGACTCCATCCTCAATACCCACTGACAAGCCCTTGGCAGGGATTAAAACCCACCTGCCCCAAAGACTGTTAAAGTCTTAAAGCCTTAAGAGTACATCCATGAGTACAAGGATGCTATAGCCAAATCGTGCCATGCTCACTCAAAGTGGAAGTTTACTGTCCAAGTGGTGTGATTTTGTTCTGGATCGCAAGCGATGGCACTAAAGGTTTTTCTTACTTTGAATGTGGATAGATAAACCATTTTTAGGTTAAAGTAACAAGAAAGTTGCAGGTTTGAATTCTCCTATGATAGAAACAATTTATTCCCAGATATCTCTTTGTGCCACTGTTTCAAAAAAATACTGATAGTTTATCCTAACAGGTTTTGCTTAATTTTCTACCCTCTCCTCAAGTTAGCAGCTCTTTGAAGTCTAGTCCTGGATTCCTCATGGTCTTGAACAGGTGATTTGCAAATACCTTGTCTTTTCATATTTTTGGTTCTACTGATAATTCCTAGCACTTAGGGCAGCAAATACAAAATGATGTTCTACTTATCCAATAATTAGCCCTCTGATAAAACAAAATCCCAGCACATTTCCATTTTTTCAGCTGTGAATGAACTAAACAACCAGCTTGTAGTTAATTATATGCACTGGACTGCATCACACCAAGGAGCACTATGGCTACATTAGCATCTCTGTTTACAGGGTAGAAGAACTGACAGCGCAGTTAACGCGTCTTGCTTTTTGAATCCCGAATAATACAGATTTCTTCACGCTACTTAACTAATTTCTAGCGAAACAGTAAGGCCCTCAGGCCACATCAGAACACTGCTGTTTGATGTTTTCTGTACCCATATTCATTTAAAAGAGATCCACAACAAACTGGATCCAAGACATTGCTTGCAATTTTTTTCCATCCTTGCTTAACTTCCTTTAACATAAATCACCTAGGTTGTCACCTGTGAGATCCTGGATAATTCAGATTAGTGAAAAACCTTATCTAGATATGTGGACATCATGGTGGAATCCAGGTAGAAATCTGGTTAAGCCTAAAAGAGATCCCTGATCAGATAGCAGACCTTGTTTCAAGCACATCTGATTCTGAAGCCAGACATTTTGCACTCTTATGAAGCTTGTATGTCATTGGTATCAGGTCTTTTCTGCCTGTTTAATGACTTCATAAATTAGGATGATAATATAAATTCACATAAATATGCCAGGTCCCGACTTTTTTGTACCTTCCTGCTGCTGCTTCTTTGGATCATTTTGAAATTAACTCTCGCAACACTACTCAGAATGGAAAGTCTAACACTGTGTAATACCTGTTAAATAAAGTTAAATGAAGCAAATGGAAACAAGTGATTTTACCGGGTTTGAACTCTTGCTGCAAAAGAGGAAATGCCACTAAAATGTGCTTTGTTTGCATCAAATCAATATCCTGAAACTCAGACGAGAGGCAGCTATAAATACGTATTAGCTTTAATACAGGACATCCTGCTTCCACTGCGTTTCCCTTTCCTTCTCTTTCTTCCTTGATTTACAAGTGGTGTAAATGAACACTTTGAGATGACATATGGTACATGAAATGAAAAAGGAAAAAACACTATATGATTACTAATATCACACACATGCACCAAGAGAAATACTAAACAGTAAGTACAGGCATACAGATTTCTATTACCGAACTTCTCAATCAATCACCTATTAAATCACCTAGTAAGAGCTCAGAAGTAGTAATGTACAGCCCATAACACTGGTGATACTCTCAGTTACTGGAGTATCTTCCCACCACCTTGCTGTACCTCATCAGCTTTAGCAGAGTTATTCAGGAGTTACAGCAATGTGAACGAGACTGAAATCACACATTGGTTTTATTGGTAACAGGGCTTCTAAGCGCTACATAACTCCATATTTAAGGCCAAATGCCAGAGGAATGCAAGAATGGTGTCAAAAGGCACTGGTGTAAATGAGCGGCAGCTTTTATGAGTCAAAACTAGAAGAAAAGTAAATGGTACTGTACAGATTTGTACTCACTGATGTTTTCTTAAATAATCAGTGCATACATAATCAGGGTCTAAAGCCTTGTGTATTCAGAAAAGGAAGTTATACGTATTTGTTTGCGTGTATGTGACATACAGCAGTTGAATATACGTGACATTCCTGAGTCAAAATGATGGTGTGTAAATACTGCAGGCATAACCGAACTGTTCAAATATTTATACTTGGTCTGTGAGTCAACTTGGATATTCAAGGTTTAATCATGAAAAGTATCCCGGAATCTGTTCTAATTAAAGTGGTAGTATAAAATAACTTCTTTTACTGTCCTGTAACTGTTGAAAAAAGTTACTAATACTAGCCATTTACTTGAATGCTTCCACACTCAAATTCTGCCCAGTGAAAATAACGGCTACTTGTTCCTTTTTTTTTATGTACTTGTGAAGAAAATGCATCTAAAACAATCTTAAGGCAAATACACACTTGTTCCATTTCTGAGGTCAGGTTCATGAATCAGATATTTTTGCATGTAATAATAACATTAACCCAAATGAAATTATTTTGAATTAAGTAACAGTAGTAGTAAAGCCAGATATTTTTGGTATGTGTCAAATCAGTAATTTCTTAGTCAGGTTTTGAGCTGAATTTAAGTGAGGGAAAAGAGCATCGGTTGCAAATAGTCAGGAGGCCCTAAAATGTTACTGACTGTGGTCAACAGTAAAACGAAGCACACAGCAGGACTGCAGTAGCTTCTGGAAACAGCCTGTGGCTGGACGAGTGCACAGGCATTTTTAAAAAATACCACTACCATGCTCTCCTCTAGACATAGATCTTTCAGCTGTTGTGTCCTCTTCACCCACTTGCAGTTATCTCATCTTAGCTTTTTTCTATGAACGAAGCAAGCAGGACACACAGGAGAAGCTTCACAAAAACAAACTCAGAGTTGTCACCAAGAGGATGGACAGCTTTTGGCAGTAAATTAGAAGGCTGTTCAGGCCAAGTCGGAGGCAAGAGGGAACAACCTCAAAGCAGCAGTTGACAAGAACCAGTCTCGAAAGCCACGCTGCATCTCGCCAAACACTTGCTCATCCCAGGAGAGTTATGCTGCTGATGCCTCATTTACGACAGCAGCTTTCTAGCTCGGTCTAGATTTCACAATATTTTGTCCATCAGCTTTTGTCCATGAGTCACCAGGCATTCTCCCTGAAGTGAGCGATCAGCCAAGATAACAACAAAGCAGCATTATCCTTACCCTAACAAAAAGAAATAGGCCTATCATGCGGCAGTAAAGCCCATTTTAAAATGGAAAAAAAGTCAGTCTATTTGTAGTCAGCTTGCCTGTTTGGCTGCCTGAGATGTTGCAATAAATTCAACACAGCTATATTACCAAGCATCATCATGGTGCAGGGTCTATACCCAGGTAAAGGAAAGCAAAAACTGGGCACAATTCACCAAATAACATCTATCTATCTATATTCTATTTGTTCGTTCATACAAGATTGTATTTGTCTCTGTCACACCAGCAGGTAATTACTCTTCTGTTCCTCACCAGCAGACCAGCATCCCGAGGCAAATGCATTGGGCAAGGAAATCTCAGCCCAGAACTACCATTTTTTTGTCATTCAGATAAAGCTGAAGAATCCCAACTGCGCTTACAGTAACAATGATCAACCATTATTCCAATAACTAACTCAAAATGATTGATGGATCATGCTAACTGACAGCCATCCTAGAAAAGCTATTCTTTGTATGTCATTTTCTCCCCAGAGAAGAAAGAAATAACTGGAGAATAAGTTCCTTTTAATTTCAAAGAGAGAGAGGGAGAAAAAGAGAGATCACAGGCCAAATGTCATTTACCTGGACTTCTCTGAAGATATTCCCACAACTAAAGGAACCAGACAGGGACAGATAATCCCAGAATACCTGGGTATTCTGTGGATTTTGTCAGACTCCGATGCCCAGACAGAGTGGGAATAAGCAGTAAGGGAAAGGGAATCACTCAGGCTCTTATCTGAAGAAAGGCAGGGAATGTAATAAGCTGTCTGTCTTTCGTAAGTGCAGCTTCTTTTCCACTATTTATTCTTCAAAGGGTTGGGACAAATTTCTAAAAGGAAATCTGCTATCTTGCCCTTGTCAGTGAGAGAGGGTTTAGTAAGTAATAGTAAGTGCTAAAAAAAGTAGTAAAAAGTAAAGTGCTATAAATCCAGGTATCAGCTTATCTCTTTGTAAACTTTTCTTTGCAACTATAACTTTAATAACTCAAATGGTAGGATTTTCACCTTCTCTCTCTTTTTTTTTTTTTAATGGAAAAGTTCCCATTATAGATTATACTCTCACTAGTCTATATTTAGTCTGCTGTGAACAGTATCACCACAGTATGAGAAAGAAATAGGAACCTTAAACTGCGTTACTCAGGTCATTGTGCTGACAAGACAGCTTTGTAACATCTATGGCATATTCAGCCTGTGCGGAAGGAGCAGCTAGATGTAAGGGACCACCAGGCAGGACACCTTTCCTTGCCTTGTCACACTACATGCTTAGAGGCTTTACATCAAGGGAAGCACCTCAGATCTAGGCCTGGCACCTATGGAAAGGATGGCATCACTGCAGTGGAACAGGGCTGCATTACCAGAGGGGTCCAGGTTTTCCCTTTCTTAGTTTCAATCCAGTACATCAAAACAGACTCAAATGATCCACCCTCCTCATGGCTGAATACCTCTCCTGCAGAAGGAGGAGCCCAGCTCTCGCTACGCAGCGAGACATTGACACACACAGCAACAACTATTCACTGAGGCCAAATTGACTGCACTGGTTGAAAACTACTGCTGGGGAAAAAAGCTGTTAATACTGCTGTAGAAGCTTTCAAGTGCGAGTGCTAGCAAACCGTACTGTGCACGCTGGCTAATAACACCTTGCGTAGAGTCGAGTCTCTTACCTGACTCCTTCATTGAGGTTGTACAGTTCATGGTCCGGGAGACCCTTACGCTGGAACACCGCTATTACTCCATTGTGGATGCTGAAAGAGGACATTAGGGGTCATTAGCACCCGACCACATTTTAGAACGGTATCACTTCCACAATAAGCCTAACATCTCTGCCTAGACACTGCAGGACCTTTTTAAAAGTCATAAATGACTGCTGGTATCCCATCCTAGATGCCTCAAAGGGAATTATTGCCTAGAAAATAGATGACATCTTTGAAAATCAGTTCTTTTTGATTTGTTCCAACTCGGTAACTTCAACAGCTGCGCATCTGAAATCAGTAATTTCAGAAAACTTAGGCTTATATGTTTTAGGTACTTTAAGTATATTAAGTGTAACTTTTAATACATTCACATACTAAGTATATATGAAGTATTTTAAAGTATATTTTTGTCTCTATGGCTCATCATAGAGAAAATTAACAGCTTCACTATGAGATCAGTGATGATATTCCCGGCATCGTTGGCATATATTTGTCTGAGCTATGGTTACTTGATTTCTTTATCGACAAATCAGCACTTATCCAGGTTGGACACTACAACTGAAGTTTAACCCACAAATATAGCATCCTTTTACTAGAATGTAATCTCAAGAATGGTCAGTTTTTTAAGAGGAAAAAAAAAAAACAAAAAACCAAAAAAACCAACACTGGACAATTATGAATTTTAAGTCCATTTAACCGATCTCTCATTTATTTAAAAAAATGAAACAACAGAAAAGGGGCAATTGGTTACCAAGACTGTCTCATATCATCACTTACTCATTTCTCAAAGATTTACACTCTTGCTTCAGCTAAAGGAAAACCAACAAAAGGTCTACAGAGTTTCTAAGGCAGACAGCAAGAGAGGCAGCGACGTGCTCGGCATAGGCCAACCATCTGTCCTACAAAAATGCTCCCTTTTCATTTTTAATGCCATTTGTAACTGTTCTGCAAGCAGATGTTGCTTGGAAGTGGCGACCTTCTGCTGCAATCAGATGCAACCGAAGACAGGATTGAGACCACAAAATTCTCTAGCTCAAAAGAAAGTCACATACCCAACACTGTCCGTCCCTGGGGCGTACAGCCACCAGCCCCAGAAATTCTAGGACACTGAATGGCAAAGACCTGCCAGGTTCTGCAGGCAGCCGGCAACCCACATGCTTAGCAGGGATGCTTACCGGTCCCATGAACTTAACAAGATTGCACCTCAAAGGGTTACTGAAATGAGTATGTGCTTCAACATGAAGCTCTGAAGTGCTCCTCAAATACACCCGACGCAATTACTGTGATGACACATGAGCCTAAATCACTGAGCTTAGGTCTGAGGACAAAGGTAAAGAAATGCCAGTGAAAGGTGAGATCAACTCTCTTCCAGCATTAGTAGAAGAAAGTAGAAGTCTCCTTCCCCTTCCCCAATCCACTGCCACCTTTTGTAGCGCCGCATCTTTGAATCCAAAAGGAAAGAAGACTCACATGGTCTCTCCATCTGTCAGCTCATCCCCATTCCTCCATTCTTGGAACCACTTGGGAACTTCTACCACATTTAACTATGGAGTGGAAGTCTCCAAAACATCAAGGTCTTTTAGGTTTCAGCTGGGGTAGAAGGAGCACCTTTTGGTGACCAAGAACATACTGCAGGGTGAGCTCAGCCTTTATTCGACATGGACACGCAGATGCTTTAGCTTCCCAATGCTGACACAGAAGAAAGCAGCCCTTATCTGCTCCACCGCTCATACTATTGCTACTTGACTTCCAGTATGACTGCTTTTACTGAAAAGACCATTCCCACTGCTGACAGTGACGCAAGTTATTTCATTTCTGTCTTACTCAGTTACACCATGTGTAAAATAAAGATGATGACACTGACTGCTAAAGGGTATTTTAAGGTATATTTACGAAAATCATACCAAAAGCAGTAAGTGTGATTATCAATAGCAGTATTACATGCCATCATTGTCACTGTTTCCTTCTTCCCTCACAATCTTACTAACCATATGGGAAAACACAGATTTTTGGCATATGGCTCTTCCTATTCAAAGCTGCACCTGAGAAGGGGAGATGACATGTTAAGGAATATTACAAAAAACACAGGGCAGAAGTCTTCCTGCTCTGCACCATCTCCCTGAGTGTCTCTCATTCTGCATGCCACTTCCCAGCCTGTACTCAGCAGGAGTAAGGAACAGCAACAACCAGCCTCAGGGACAGTCAGGAGGTGTACTTAGGAGACACTGAATTGAATCTCACCCCTAGAACATCTACCGAAAAGATCTTCCAAGGATGAGAAGCTACAGCACTCACATCCCTCCTGGGGATCTGGTTTTACCAGTGACTCCACAATACGGTTTTTCAGGGCTTTGCAGCTGACCTCCCCTGCTCACAGCAGCAACCAGCTTTGGAGCTCTGGAAAGCAAAACCAGGACCAGATTTGCCCAAGCTGGAGGTACCAGGATTTAGGGTTGCCCTGCCTTGTGAAGAGCAGCTAAAGGCAATATTTGTTTGTAAGGCCTCCAGTGGGAGGAAGCCTAATTCCTACTGGTGGACGAGCTTGGTCAGCTCTGGCCTGGTGTCAGCTCCAGGCCAGATCTAGCCACATGCGGCTGCTCCCACCGCAAGGGGGTGGCACTGGGGGCACTATGCCAGGTGGCAGTGGAGTGTGCCTGGGGACCCCAGGTGCCCACATTAAACCTTCCCAGGGCTACAGTAAGACAACCCCTTTCAATCTTTGCTGGGAGCAGAGGACTGGGCTGGAAGGTAAACCCAATGCTATTCACTGAGAGATTTGAAATGCAGGCACACAGCAACACTGAACAGCAAAGAGACGCACTGTTAGAAAAGCTCAGCCACGTTCATCTGTGGAAAAAGGAAATTAAAAGTGGCAGGTGAAGGATATGACCCGCTGTGGAGAAATGCACACGCAGATAAAAATAGGAACCATTATCCTCTTCTCTCTTTCGCTCCTTTGATGACGTTTCCAAGGCGTTAAGCACTCCCCCGCCACGGTGGTCCCTCTTTGCCCCCTACACCCACGTGCACAGACATACACTCATGATCTAACTCAGCTTATTTTGGCTTGCTCAAACAGACACACTCAATTTACGATTATTTGAAAACTGGCAGCTAAATGTCTCTGGTATACAGTGAAGCGACAAGTATTTTAATATTATGAGTAATAAGTGAAGTACGATTAATGTAGTGAATAAAACAAGCAGTCTTTACACGCTCTTCTGATTCAGAAATGAACTTTGCAATGTTCCCTGCCAGCCTTCTGCAGAGAAGAATGACTAAATCTCTCTCTTAAAAGCCAACGTGCTCTCTCTCATTCTCTCTGGCACTCCTTTCTAAACGAAGGGGAGGTTTTCTCTTTCCAGCTTAACAGGTCCATTATTATTCCTCAAAGAAGTAAGAGAGAGCAAGCTTTTTTCACAAGAACTAAGGGGAACAGGTTGTGAGCATTTAAGTTATTGCCTGTGTAGTAGAACTGCGCCTAGATAAAACATCCTAGCAGTGATCTTTTAATCTGCCTGGGATCTCCCCTGTAGCGAGGGACAACTACCTTGTCTGGAAGACAAGTCTTGGCCCCGCTAAATTGACCGCCTGCCTTTCCTTCCCATCGCAGGCAGCAGCGCTTGCATGCAGGCATGCATTCCCAGGCTGCAGGTGACGTGGGAATGCCACCGTAATCTGGCCCTCCACACTTCCTCAAGAGGCAACAAAGAGGAGTCAGAATAACTGGGATGCTATCGGTGGCGTAAGTTGGTATCAGGATAATAAAAAGCTACCTTAAATATTCTCAGTTACCTTAAGCTAATGAAAACAACAAACCCAACCCTCGCTTAAATGAAAGTAATCCTATGGTTTCTATAATGAGTGATTGTTTAAAAGGGTTTAGTCAGAATGGTACAATCTTTTGGTGTAAAGAAAATCGGAGCTGCTGCTTACACACAGAAGTCCTGCAAGATGTTTGAGGTGGGTAGATCACTTTTACTTGTGCCTGTGACCAGCCTCCACTGAGGCTTAAGTCAATAATGTTTATAATTAAACTTATATTTTAACAGTTAACCTGAACTGAAAATGCCTTGTAAGTGTCCTTCTGTAACTCTTTTACAATATGAAAGTTAATAATGGGTGCACTCACGCACTGATATGGGTCTGAACAACTTCTCTGTAATTGCTGTGTGTGTGAACGTGTGCACAGGAACACAGCACCACAGAGGAGACAAAAAAGAGCCCAAAAGAGCCAAAAAAAAAAGGTCAGGTCCCAAATTGCCCATGCTTGGTATTGAATAAGGTTCCAGCCTCCAATCAAGACCAGACCTCACTGTGTTTGTCCAGGATTATAAATGCTTCTGGTTTGCTGCATTGTACCAACAGACACATTTTCCACAGAAGCGCAGATGGAACCTCCTACTCCTGCAGCGCTGCACCTTCTCCTGCTTAAGAAAATGAGCAATTTCTAAGGCTCCCCTGCCAGGATCTTCTGCTGGAACAAGGGGGACCTGAAAGCTCTGTGCACCTGAGCAGTGCACCTTTGAAACAAGCTACAGCCACCCTCACACTGTGAGAAAAGGCAAATCTCTGAGTTACGGGATTACAGCATTTCTTGAAAGCACACCACCAACTCATGAGCCAGCTCCTCAACTGGTATGAACTGGGGCAAATTGCTGTGGCAGTATTATTTAACCTGAGTCCAAGCACTAGGATATATTGTGCAGGCACCTTGTCATAAAAACATACGCCACGGGTCACTCTTGGTCTGAACACTATAGCTAGAAGATGACATTTTGAGAGACCAGCAGTGGGGCAGAAAGATGCCTGGGAGGAGGCTTGCCATGGGTCAGCGGGTGAGCAGGGAAGAGAGGAGCATGGCTAGCGCAGTCTGGTTGTAGGAGTGGAAATTGGGATCGGAAAACTGCAGAGACCAGGATTTTGAGGGGGGTTGCAATTACAACGAAGACAACATGTTAGATGGCTCTAGCAATGTATTGTACTTACTTATCCCACAGTGGCCACAGATTGCCAGAAGAAAACTACCTACAACCAAGAAGGCACACACA